CAGAATGTGAAAATTGTGACGTTTAGTTTCCATCAGGCTCCATCAAAGTAAACCCAGGGTTAAACGAAACTACAGGTATATACCGGGTAACCAAAGGCACAACAATAACCGTGGCTCGAAAAATTCATTTAATCCCGAAGCTGTGCAAACTGGAACGGCAAAAGCCGTCTGTTTGGACAGCACTCAATTTCAAATTCGAGTAGCGCCGCGCGATACGGTCGCGTAACAAGAACTAACTTTCCGGCGTTTCATTAAAACCAATTATTCGATCTCACTCGAAGGATCAATCCCCCTGTCGATTTCCAAAATCATCGTGCTGCTGGAGAATAGACGAGAACTGTTTCGTGCCGTTGCTTACATTCAATCGTACGTTGTTTTACACACCTGAGCGACGATTTTAATACAGTCAGAGGTACGTTACGAAAAATGCGCAATTAGAGGCGTACGCAAAAGAGCATAAATGACAATTTATAGAAGAGAGTGTAAGAGTGTAAATTAATGATAAAAAAAACACATGACCGTTAATTTTTTCGCACTCTGTACTTAGGCAAATTTGGGTAGCTCGGTGTTTGTTGGGGTTTTGTGAAAAAATTCTTAAGTTCCACAAGATGAGGTGTCTTTTGACAAAATTTAGCGAAAATGTATTTGGGACGCAAGTTTTATTTCAAAATTATTTATCTTTAGTTTTAAATCACGGTGGCGAGAATTCCCTGTAAAATGTAGCGAATTTTGGAAAACTCTGCGAAGGTTTCGTGACGAAATAGATTTGCAAACCACTGGAATAGTTTACTACGCTACATTAGTATCTCTCGGAGGCTAGAAACTAACGCGCAGCATATTACTGCACCGAATACCATAGATAATTGTATCATACTGACAAGTATTCACATCTGAACACAGAAAAAGCTACGATAAAAATTCACCACAATTCACCAAACCGTAAATGAGTATCTTCGCAAAAAAGCGTAATACTGCTCAAAAACCTCCCATCTCACCCGAGCCAGGCGTCTAAGTAATTTCAATCGAGAGGAAATAAAAGTATGATAAAACGAACCAGACCTGAGTCAGACGGTGTATCCAAACAGTGAAAAAAAAAAAGCACAGGTAGGTATCGGGAAGGGGCGCAGAGTTGGGACAGAGATTCAGACGAGAGTAAAACGAAGACACAGACGGAGGGGAGAGCCGTGTGCTTTCACCCTGGCCGCAGAAACAAGAGGCACAGCCAAGGTATTCCAGTAATTTCAGTCGTAGGAATATTCATGAGCAGCCACGGCCGAGTGTACTGTTCCGCTTCTATTCACCGTTGCAGATGGGCCAACCAGGGTCAGAAAGCTTGCTTTACGAAGCAGGAAATCCATGCAGATGAGAACGGCTAAAAGGAGCGCGCGGCGCTGAGGAGTAGTAGGGAAGGATCGGTCGCGTTAGAATGAGTGGAGGAGCGAAAGAGAAGAAGGATTCGTCGCGGCTAACCGGCCCCCGGTATCCACGCTTCAATTAGCCAAAGTGCAGCAACAAAGCTGACAATATGACATCGAGAAACTCGGACCGTGGCGGTGGTGGTGGTGTCTCATGCGTCAATCGTCTCGATAAGACACCGTGAATAGGAATTGAAACGTGTTGAATTGGATTCGGGACGGTTGCACAAAGGTTGCTTGCTCTTTTGCGGTTATCGCCCTCCGGTGGTGCGATCCTGGACCGAGAGTTTGTTAACACTGTTTCGATCGTTTCGGTGGAAATACTGTTCTACGGTGGATCGTTCCTGGTAAATTCTGCTCGATTTTTCCACGTGATTTTGAGGAAATTTTGGTTTACGCTGATCGATAAATGGGATTTTTATGGTTTTGCCTTTCTTTGTTGGTTTAAGAATCTTCATTGTTAAGGACAGGATTTTTTGGAGAATATTTCTGACGATTTTGAGGAAATTTTGGTTTGCAACGATCGATAAATGTGACTTTTATGATTTCACCTTTCTTTGTTGGTTTAAGAATCTTCATTGTTAAGGACAGGATTTTTTGGAGAATATTTCTGGCGATTTTGAGGAAATTTTGGTTTACGATGTTGGATAAATGTGATTTTTGCGGTTTAAGAATCTTCACTGTTAACGACAGGATTTTTTAGAGAATATTTCTGGCGATTTTGAGGAAATTTTGTTTTACGATGCTGGATAAATGTGATTTTTATGCTTCTTCTTCTTTGTTGTTTTAAGAATCGTCACTGTTAACGTCAGTATTTTTTAGAGAATACTTCTGCCAGTAATATTTTTCAGCAATCTTTTCACATTATTCTAATGCAAATTCACGGAGCAAAAAATGTCACAGATGGCAGGTTCAATCTTTCTACATTTTCTATTTAAAATTCTGTAACACGATTTTCTTCTTTCAAGAGCTGTTTAAAACCAATATTAATATCCTTCAAATTTGAACTTGTTCCTGTGACCTATTTCAATCGTTTAAAATGAAAACTTCTTACCTTTAGCATGAAATATGAATCTGTGAAATAATACTCGAAGAAAACCTCCAATATCGATCGAAAAAATACGACAAAAAAATATACCAGTTAGGATTAAATTCCCAAAAAATGGTTGCTCCAGTCTACACTCGCGAACCTAAATAATAACAATAAAAATACACATTTCGAACTTCGTTCAGCAATTTCACGCTGCTACATAAAGAAACCATCTCACGTGGCAGGAATTTTCGGAAAAATCGTAAAAAACACTCTGCTCTCGAGGCATCTGCTACGATCACCGGGTGAAAATTCGCATTAGAAGCTGAAACAAGGATGATCGGGTGGGAACATCGTGCGATAACGTTGAAACGTGAATCAGACGGGCAGCATCGGATCGTTACCCTTTAGCCGTGATCCCGTCGATTCGCGATTTCCGAATGTATTTCCTTTCGGCAAACGTTTCGAATCAGCTATGGGTCGAGCTAACGCCTCCAGCAACATGGATATTTTGACGAGACCATGGTACGAAGCTGTCGTGGAAATCACGATCGCCTTGAAGCTTTGAAATCGAGAAGCCCCGACTACGATTTCCAACTCTCTCTCTCTCTCTCTCTCTCTCTGTTCCCTCTTCTTCTATCCGTTCGACCATCCATCTTTCTCTTTTGCGTATCTGCAGGCTGCGACCACATTGTCACGCCGCGACAAAGTATACAGGGCGGTCCGTTTAGCCCTTACACGTGAAATATCTCCCCTGTGGGTAAATTTTCTGGATTTATTCGATACAGAACGGGTGGATATTATGATTGATGGAACACCTTTCCCCACGTTTGCATTTTTTTTCTTCCGCGAAACTTTACGCTTTTTCCTTTATTTGCATGGGATTATGGAGCATTCTATGGAGAAATAGGCAAACTTTTAAAGCAGTGAGTTGAAGCGTAGGGAATTATCGTTTCGTGAGAAGTTTGGAAGAAAATATCTTTTCGCTTTTTGATCAGATTTGACTATTTCATCTTTAATGAGAATTATCGACAAACTCCGAGTTTCTGTGATATTTCTCTGATTTGATAAACTTTTGCGCTATCCACCATGAGAAATTTCACACGCGTCGGCTGTAATAATCGTCGAAACTTGTTTCCCTCGGAAACAGAGTGTCCAAAAGAACGCGAATATTCCACTCGTTGGTTTTCAACTGGGGAAATTTAAATGGACCGCCCGGTAGTTCGCCTAGGGATTGACGAAACTCGTGGAAAGGAGTAAATCAAAGGTTGTGTCGCGAGCGTAGCAGCGAAAAAAGCCCCTCGCCAACGTTCGCGATCCGATCGTACTCGTAAACACGAAAAAACGGTCGTAAATAATAATCGGTAGAAAATAAAGGCACGTGGGGGAGGATGGAGTCGAGCGAATTTGCCGCGAGCACTCGCATCGATGTCTCATCAAAAGGATAAAGAATGGTGTCGCGAGCGAAAGTAACGAATGGTTTTGTGTCATCCAGCGAGATACAGTTAGATTCTAGCGCGATATAATTGGCGTGGATTGGCGAACCAAGGTTCTAAAGTTAAATCAGATCGTTGAGAGAGGTGAAAATGAAAGATCACGAGTATATGTAGGCGCGTAGATATTACGGTCGGGGAGAATACTCCTGGCGATAAATTACGTGAACAACCGCACTGATTACAGCGTGGCGCATAAACTCGATAAACATATCAACGTTTTCATTGTTTGTAACAGCCATTATGACATGATTGCCAAGCGGAATAAATTGACCACCGAAAACCAAATTCGATTACACCGATATTCGGCGTGTAGCTAGATTCGACCGTAGAACGCATCCACGAGGGTTTTAATAACCCGCCCTAACGCAAAATATCCATTCGCCCGGTGATTTAACGAGAAACAATTTGCTCCGGGTAACAAGTCTGTTCTATCGCTAAAAAGGAGATGCAATTACCCTCGCTCTGTACGCATATTTCCCTCTACTTGTACGAAATTTCCGGAAATTACGTCCGGAGATGCGTATTACATTAATTATTATAACGAATTGGAAAATGAGATTTTCACGTACACCTGTCCAATTTATCATTCCTACGTTTTCGTACAGCTTTCTCGTTAAAATTGCGCCTGGCGATCTCTTAATTTTCATACAAAAATTCACACTTTCTTTGCGACGTCGTGTTTCAATTTTCTTTTTAATTCAACGCGTTACCAAGTATCCAAGGAACAACTCGGTTATTACGTTAGAACGTTTCCCGTTCGATCATCTTAATAAAGTCCCACTTAAGATTGAAATTCAACGTCGCGCCAAAAGCGCCGCGACGACAATATAATTTAGCAGGAATTACGGAAGATTACGTCGTTTAGCTGCATGCCGAGATATTTTCGTAGTTAACAAGACACAAAGCTCTGTGCAAGCCTGAACGCAGAGAACGAGGGAGAGGGAGGGTTGGGTTATGCTGGCGGAAACGAAGGGTGGATTTATGACTGACGAAAGAAGCGCGTACACACGCCTCGTCGACCAGAGGGTTAACCGAGTTGTTTGCGAATTTTTGCTGCAGGTCGACCCATGGTGCATCCACCTAGTCAAACAGTGACGGCCAAAGAGGGTGAACTGCTGAATATTGTCGTCGAATTCTGCGCCGAGCCGAGATACACCAAGGTGCTCTGGATGTCCGAGGAGAACGTGTATGTACCTGGTGCACCAGCTAGGGATGGTGTTCAAGCACTTGCTATTGAGGTACGTTCCCTTGTTTCTATGCTTTTCTTCGGGGATTTTTATGGAGAGAATATTTCTAGGTGTGCGTTTTGTAGTAATTAATTACGACGAAAAAATGTCACTTAACACGTTAGAAATTGTTAGACTTTCTAAAAATGAAAATTAGGAAAAATTCTGAAGATACTCAAACAAATTGCAAAGAATCCTTTACTTTAATATTTTTACTACTTTTAAATATTCAACCCTTTAATCTCGACTGTTTAATATTTAAACGTAGTTCGCCTCGTTTATTTCCTTAATACCAACGATACGACAGAAGATGGTGCATCTATCCAAATAGTTAACTATGTGTGAAAAAGTAGAAGAAAAAGTTACTCTATATTACACGCCTCCATTTTTACAACACTTTTTCACCAATTCCTGTTTGCAAATCCTTCAATCGTAGTATCGTTTAATCCACGAATCTACCAAAGCGAGAAAAGCAAAACAGAAAAAAAAAAACAAGAAACCAGCTGCAGAACAATCGTTGAAATCAAACACTCCACTTCTCCCGTTCCATTTCACCCTAGCTTCGCCTCAACGAAAAGCGCTACACTCTCTGCGAGGGCAGTAAAACCGAGAAAAGGTTCATCTCGCGCGGCAATGACTCGTTTTACACGGCAGAAACACCTCAATTCTCGTTCGCGAACGCAAGAATTCTCGTAACGACAGCCACGGAAGCGAGAGGAAGACTCGGGTTTGAGAAACAGGGTGAACGAAGAGGCAGCACACCATCCCCCGTCTTCTAGGTGCAATTTAACTTCGAAGACGGTCGAGTTCCGCGAAAACCGGGCAATTTCTAAATCCCCGAGAACACGCGCCAACCCGACAACAAGAATAACAACGCGAATTATACTTTTATCGCGAGCGACGTACCAGCCGAAGCGTGATTTCTTCCTCGACGGAGGTGAGGGGAGGCAAAAGGATCAAAATTGGAGAACTGGAGCGTAGAGACACCGAGGGGGGAACGCTTGTTGCATACAGTGAAAATATGAGAGAACCAGAGGAATGAAACGCGATACCGGATTCATACGTGGTGCTCGCGCTTATTTCATTTCCGCGTGTCGCGCCTCTCTCTCTCTCTCTCTCTCTATTCTTTCCTCTTGCCATTCTTTCTTTCTCTCTTTTCCTTTTATTTTTCACCGACAGACAGAGTCCAGAGACTGGATGGTCGCACAAAAGACGGATTAACCGTTTTTCCGAGGAATCAGGAATAACGGTGAAACGCGTGGAACGGAGAACAGTGAAATAGACAGAGGAAAAGACGAAGTGGAGAGGAAAGAAGAGAGTCCGGCGTAGCTTTAGAGGGATTTGCTAATGCACCTGTGCTACGTTTGTTTTTATTAACTTTTAATCCCCTTTGTTCCGCGCGGGAACGTTCTTAATTCGTTCAACGAAAAAGCGATTGTCCTTGTTAATTTCGTCGTCGATCTTTTCCTTTTCATTCCTGTCCCTCTCGCTTGGTTCCTTTATCGAGTAGAAATTACGGATTTCATCGCGGAGGAATCGTTTGAATCTTTTCCAACGGAAAGAGAGAGAGAGAAACAGGCTTTTCTTTAAAGCGTTTAAACGTTCGCGATTTCCACTCGTTCGAACATGCGCGAGATTTTGATCTCTGCTCGAATTAGCGATTGTCGTGGTCAGTTCGAGCGGAACATCGTTTTGTCAATTGGGAATTAACTATTCGTTCGCGCGAGAAACAGATTCGGGGACTGAAGGAGAAGGATATTTTCGATCCTTCCTTGGTGAACTTCGGTGTGCAGCTTCGTGAAATTTAAAAATCTGCTTTTGCTGGGTTCGTTAGTGAGTAGTCGGCTGATCGAGTATTAATACCCTTTTGCGAGACCTTCGCGAAGGTACTCTAATACCCTTTGCGAAGATTTTCTCAGTTAAAAAGTGGAAGAAATGAATCATTTTCTCGAAGAATTAGACGGGACAGCTGCTTTCACTTCGTTCTAAACTTTTAAATAGCAATGATAACGTCTTTATTACATATCTAAGATACTGTTGCAATATTTAATCTATTTATAATTGTAAACAATTACGGGGATCGGGAATTAGAGGTTTATTAGAATCGAGGTCAGAAGCAAGTATCCCATTGCGGAGTTAAAGGAGATAGAAACTAGATCGAGCCTTTTACTGTCTTATTATTGTCACAATTTTGTGTCTTCGTTTCATTTCTTCTCTGGATAACGTCGTCATCGTTGTTCCTTCAATTTCACTCAGAATCGCATTTCACATTGCTACCCTTCTCGCTTAATTTATTCTTCTCTTTCTTCCTGTATTCTTCTCATACTCCCTACTTTTCTACGTTCTTTATATTTGAACCCCTGAACCTCAAATTCAAGCAAAATTTCCCGGAGAGACCGGATCCAAATCGATTCATCCAGCCACGCTGCAACGTCAGAGAACACCGATTACGTCGCTCAGGTCCAAAGAAGGAAGCTTGTTAATTTTTCTTCGGCGGATCAGGTCGACGGCCGGTAGGCGACACAGTGCGCGGCATTCAAAACAGAATCTGGATGAAAATAACTACGCTCACCACAGAGCACGTGCATCCAGGAGGCTGAGCTTCGCTGTTCTCCAGGTCCCTTGTCCCCTCGGTAAGCCTCGTCGAGGAGCTGCAATTCCACGAATTAATTACCCGCCACTGCAGTCCCGGATAACAAGGGATATAGAGAACCAGGAGAGAGACCTGAAAGAGAGAGAGAAACGGTGGGATAAATCACGTACTAACTACTATCAGTCGTGCTTTAGACGAATGCCGCAGAAATTTCACTTTGAGTTGTCGAGTAGGAAGAAACTTTCGATGAAATTTCCGAGGATCGACGAACAAAAGCACGACGGAACCAGCCGCGAGACGATGTCTCGATGTGTTTGCACGGCCGACAATCGGTAGAGAGAGAGAGAGAGAGAGAGAGAGAGAATAGGGTGGAGAGACGTGGAGGAGAAGCAAGCACAACACTCGCGATGCGACACCGTTTCCGGCTGAACGCTGTTTGTGCACCAAGCGGTAGCAAAGAAGTTTTTCGACGAGCAGAGCGACAATAGGGTTGTTGTAGACCCACCTTGTTCCACTGCTCGATCGTTTAAAATGAGTTTGCACCCGAACTCCGTTCTACTTGGGGAGAAATGAAAATCTTTGAACGAGGTCGATCTCGAGTGGATCGAACGACGGTCGATCGGTGTACAATGCGTATTTGTAATTTTCAGATGGTGTGCAAGAACGACGGAGGGGATGTTGAGAGAGCTGTGAAGTCGATTGCTGAGAATGAAAGGGCTCCACTGTTTTAGTTTGAGATTAGGAGGTAAATTCTGGGTTAGTTTGATTGGGTTCGATGGACGACGTAGTTTTTGTTGTGTTATTTTTGCTATTGTAGGAGAGGCTCGGTTTAGTTTATCTTGGGAACTTCAAATTTTGCTTGTTGGGAGATCTGTGAATGAGATTTCAGTGGTTCGAGGCTTTGGAACGTAGTGCAAATGAAAATGAGAATTGTAAATTTTTCAAAGTGTCAAAATTCGAATGGAAGTTCTTGTAATAGTGAAATGTCGAATGCAAAATTTCGTAAAAGTATTCCGAGGCTTTGAGATCCAATGCAAACAGAAACTAAGAATTCTAAATTTCCAAAGTGTCATAAAAATTCACCGCTTAAAAATATCCTCCAACGAAACTTCTCTTAACGGTCAAATATCGAATGCAAAATTTCCTAAAAATATTCTGAGGCATGAAACGCAATGCGAACGAAAGCTGAAAATTCCAAATTCCCAAAATATCGAAAATTCAAAAACCCTAGCATAGAGTCGAATATATTCTTCAATGAAACTTCTCTTAATCGTCAAATATCGAATGCAAAATTTCCTAAAAATATTCTGAGGCATGAAACGCAATGCGAACGAAAGCTGAAAATTCCAAATTCCCAAAATATCGAAAATTCAAAAACCACTTTACCGACCGGTAGCCTATTGGCTTTTTGCCGCCAACGCTTACCGACCGGTAGCCTATCAATCGCTTTTTTACCGATAGCCTATTAATCGGTCAAAGTTTGATTTAACATTTCTATAGGTACAAGAAATAACGCGTATGTTCCGGCGCGAAAGCGTAGAGTCTAAACAGAGCCGGTGTCAGCGATGTATCTGTGGCCGATTGAGCGGTCGGAAGTGCGTAGGATGTTCAACCGCTACCGGTCGGTAAAGTGTTAGCACAGAGTCGAAAATATCCTTCAACGAAACTCCTCTTAATGCTCAAATATCGACCGCAAAATTTCCTCAAAGAACTGCTCAATATTCCAAAAAAAAAAAAAGAAGAAAAATAGAATACTTCAGAAACTGGTGCTTCCCCGGATAAAAAAATTTGAAGAACGTAATATTGCAATTATGGTGGGACGTTGAAAAGGAACATTTCAAGGTACATAATTATTCAAAGTTAACGAGGAAAAGGGCAACCTAAATTACTCGAGGCAACAAAGTGTGCATAGACGTATCAAAGGGTGACGAAGAAGAAAATGGAGAAAGCGGGAAGGTAACGAGAGCGGTGGTAGTAAGAACTGTTTCGTTGAATGGAGAAGACAAGGGATCGAGAAAGACGGCTGGTGGAGGCTATCGTGCATCGCAAAGACTGCGAGTGAAACGCGGAGTTAAATGGAGCAAGAAACAGCGACTGGTTGCACGCGAAAAATTCGCGAGACTACGAAACGACGTCTTGTTGAAATTGCAGGACGAGGTATCACGAGGGACAGGCGGAATCAGATTCAATTACGCAAACGTATTCCACCCTTGGCCCTCTGTGAAACGAAGGAAACACGGATCGACGGTGGGGGGAAGTGAAACGGTGGAAATTTAATTAAGAACGTCGAATTATAAATTCTTTATTCCGCCGAATTCGAACTGGAAAGCAAACTCCTCTACGCGTGACTAAATTTCATTTTGCAAAAGTTCAAATTAGTTGGGGAAATTGGACAATTTCCCCGGCGATTATTTCCTCGGTAGAAATAAATTACACCGATGATTTTCCTTTTGATTTCACTCGATCGGTACTCTATTTTCGTCGATTGCGTACACGTATGAGAACGTAATCAGAGTAATTAACGTAACTGAATGATGCAAGAAGATCGTTTAACCTCCACGTCAATTGCAGTGCATAATTTCGCGGTAAGTTAAACACGGTATAACGCGTCGATACTCGTGAATATTTAACAAACTACGTTCCTTTTTTAGAAAATGTACAAATTAACATTCTCGTTCGCGTGTTGATTGTAATCTTCCCGCCGAATGCAGAGTGCTATCTGTGGTTCTGTCGATTGTTCCGATCGATAATATCGCCGTGTCGTGTACTGATTTAATGCCCTCGATTTTATCGCGAGGATATAAAAAGTCAAGCTGAGAACCGAAGAAGAAGAAGAAGAAGTAGAAGTAGAAGAACAAAGGCTATCTGTATGTAAAAGGAGAAGAAGAGTAAAATAAGGAGAGTAGGAGAAAAAGCAACGGAAATCAGAGGTGATACGGGCAATTGGAGCGGGAACGCGACGCGATGCAGGAAGTTTTCAGTTTTCCGCGAAAGTTCGACGCGAAAGTTTAATCGTAAGAAGCTAAGCAGAATCACGCGACAGATAAGAAAGACGGTCGCGAATCGACGTTATCGAGTCGCGAGCTAATGAGCGTCCCACGATAAAAACGCCTGAGCCGCGGGGCAGCAAATCGAACTGCTTCGAAACTGTCGCTTAAATATCACCATTCTGGCTCCCGATAAGACCGATCCGTTCCACTCTGCATTTATCTATATGGATTGGCTTATTTTACGCACACTTTCATTCTTGTAATCCAATCTTATTCTATCTTAAATTATGAATGTTAACCTACTATTCTTGTTAAATCATTTTAAAGTAATTTATTAACAACATTTCTACAATTTCTTTTTGCGACGACCTCAATTTTTCAACCAATTCTTTTTTATTATTAATTTTTTCCGTGTATCGAATGGTTTTCTCGCCGTATTTATGGAATAACTCAACCGGTTGCAAAAATATGGAGATCCGGACAAACCGTGAAATGCTTTTATCCCGTTGAACGTAATATAGAAAGAAAAACATTGATTTTTTTTCTTGTATCTTTATTTCCATCGTACCGTGGGCTATCCGTCTGTTGTTATGAAAAGTGCCTATTCCGTTCAGGATAACCGCCGATGGGCAGGCGGTCCCAAATAGGAAATAACAAGCAGTAACAAACTGTGCGTCCACCGATGGTCGTTTGGCGCTCAACGTGTTAAATATGGACCAATTGGAACAAGACATTGAACGTGACATGGACCATAAAGGGTTGATATATACAGGAGCAATGTAGCGAAATTTGTTTGGCCATCTGTTGCGTAAAATTCTTCAAACAATTCGCTATGAAATATGCTAGAAACATTTCTCGAAATAAATACCAGAAATCTGTGTCTGTGTATTCAAATATTAGCTTCGCTACTCTAATTAACATTCTACTGGAAACTGTATTTCCTAAACGTTAAACCCTATAACGTGACTTTATTTTAGAGAATTGAACGAATAGCTAAATTGTTGAGAACAATTTGTTGTTCATTAGGTATAGAAATTAATTCTTTCCGATTGGATTCGCATAACTGATGCAAAGCCACAGAAAAAGGGCAAAAGGGGAAAATTATCTCCATTCTTGATCTCTTTTCATTATTTTCAAATAAATCTTTGATCGTTTCCAAAAGTCGGAAAGAATTCATTTCTACACCTAACAGTTACACTTTACACGTTACAAAGTATCCATAAAAGAACGCACCTACTAATTTTCCTTCCCCAATACGTAAGGGATGGGCGATTTTACAATTAAAAGGGGCGCGCGGACAACCAAACGGCCGATCAACGTCTTTACGCGACGACGTTTACAAAGAACCGCTGCTCCTCTGTTCACAGCTCGGACAGGCACACGCGTGCACACAGACAGACACACGCCACACTATATAACCAGTGTAAATTTAAAAAAAAAGACACAATATTATCGTGACATTTTCTATATCAGAATATTGATCAATTCCGTTCGCACCATCTTTTCACTTACACTCCCAATTGCTCTAATTCCCCCCAAACATCATCCCCGCAATTCCCAACTTGCCCGCAAAAACACCGTCACACTTTCCACCTTCGAAAAATACCATCCTCACAATTCAAACTATCCTCGAATCTCGCCTAAAAAAAAAAAACAGATCACCCTCGACAAAATTCCGAACCGTCCACCCTTTGAATCCCCATTAAACGAAGAACAAGAAGAAAAGAAGGAACACAGACAAATCTCACCTTTGACCCATCCCCCTGTCAGTTTACCACTTCTCTCTGAAACTTCCCCGGCAACAACGACCCCTCGAAACTTCCACCAGACAAATCGTCCTTTTTTTTATCCTACACGGCAACCTTTACGGGAGAGGCCCTTTAAATCCGCCGTCACGAATCGGGTCACGAATACTTGGCGAAACTACGCGAACTACCGGTGGTATCGAATTCATTAACGACGCACGTCTCTTGCTGTTTGCCTTTCAGGACGACGGCACGGAGTCCTGTTACAGGACGGTGCTCAGCTTCGACACGATTCAATGGTCTCACGCCGGGGAATGGCTGCTGTTGGTCCGCTCGTCGGAAGGGATCGCGGACGCTTCCGTTTTGTTGAACGTGACGCGCGCCTCTGAGTACAGTCACGCTCACTTCCGGTCAGCGAGTCTCACCTATCTGTCGCTGTGTCTCGCCCTGGTCATCCTGCAGGAGCATCGTCGCTGAAAACGCCGTCGTGGATCACATCGAAACAGCGGTTGTCGGTTGCTCCGTGGAGCTAACGAGAGGGAGATTTGGAAAGGAGAAGAGAGAAAATAGGAAAATAATCGAACTAAGAGTAGTAACTCGGTTGCAAAAAAAAAGAAATAAGAACGGAACGACGAGGGGGGGAAGGAAGTCAGAATTCCGTCGGTATTTCCGCGACTTCGACGATTGTAAATATCGAATAATATATATTATTATACATAAACGAGAGATGAGAGAGGATAGGAGAAGGGAGAAGGAATAATCGTTGTTCTGGTGTTAGAAATCAGAGAAAGAAGGAAAGACGTTCCGTATTGACGTGTTCTTGACTCGAGGCGAGATTCGACGACGATGCAACGAGAGAACCCTGTTTATTATGTATCGAGAGAAAGAAAGGGGAAAGAAAGGGGTGAACGCGCTTAAACGAGAAAGCCTTTTATCGACGCTGCCGTTGTCGATGAACGATCCAGAGCTTCCGGCGACGACGATAATCCGGCCTCGACGTTCCTTAATCATGGATCTCGTTGCTAGATTCGATTTTTCGGTTTTTCTTCGAATTTCTCTTTTACTTTTTCAACAGGGGGGAGATACTCTTGCCGTAGGGTTTTTCTAGAAGATAGACGACGATAAGGATAGAGAGATTGGATCGAATCCGAGGATAACGACTATGTACTATATTTTTTTTTTTTCATCGTTCTTTTTCTCCAAGAAGTTATATATCTCCGTTCCAAAGTCGGAAGCAAAAGTTGATGATTCGTACATATTCGTACATGCTCAAGACCTCGACAGTCTGAGACTTTAGCGGGCAATGTCTTTCTTCGGCCTTAAACGAGAGTAAACAACGCGCGGCCGAAACGACACGAGAACGAAGGATACGGTTAATTCGCGTTGTAGGTGAAACTTTGTAAACTAAAGAGAAGAAAAAGAAACAATTGTCGCGAGATATCTGGAGAGGCGAGGAACCGTTTCTCGCGACTTTGGTCTTCGATCGAACTTAGCGAAAATGGAATATTCAATGAGGTTACGCGTTACGCGAGGCACGTGTAAATATTTGTATAGTTTATTTGTATAAGGTAACCGAACGAGACGTGCAGAGGCAAAGTAGCGGGGAAGAAGCGACGGAGAGAGAAGAGAAGAAAAGGTTGTACACTCGTGTCGAACAGGTGACCGCAAAAGTGTTTCGATTCTGGCTCGTCGAACGTCGACGATTGAACGTCTTCGAGTTGCACAGAAACGAACACTTGGTCCACGGTGTAATATTTTAGGGTGACCGCGTATCTCGGGTGCAAAGAGACAGAGAGGAAAGGGGCAAAAGAGTGGAGTAACTTGGCGAAGAACGAAGGGAAGAATGGGGTTGACGTGTGTTAAAGGCTTGATGGAACGAAGAAACGAATTGTGAAGTACGGAAAGAGAGGCGAGAAGGAATATTTCTGAGAGAAGAAAGAAAGAAGAAAACTAGGTACGTTAAGGGAAAAAAAAAATGGTACATTGTTGTATATTATTTTAGGTAAGTAGCATTAAAAAGAAGAAGAAGAAAAAAAAACAAATAGCGTGTATATAGTGATTGTAAATGCATAGGCTATCGTACACCGAGGGCTATGTATGACGAATTATACAGTGACGCTGTTAGAGATATATTTATTATTCGTTGATATATTTTTATAAAGTTTTATTTAGCCATAAGTTCTCGTTCGCCTTCCCCCTTGGATGTATCGTGTAATCGATCGATGGTTAGCTTTCAATTGAGAATGGGCCGAGAGAAAGAGGTGTGATGCTGAATAACGACGACGATAAACGGTTTCAGTTTCGACAAAGGAGAAAAAGGTGAAAATGTTTCAACGAGGATCGTAAACGATAAATATTAAAAAACGAAATTCCTCCTTGTCCCCTCCCAGTCTCCTCCCCTAAGCGAATATCCTAAATTAAACGTTTAACGAAGATGGTTGTATCGTAAATAGAAAGCGAGCAAGCAAACAAATAAGAAAAGAAAAAAAACAGAAAATACGAAAGCAAAAAAAAAAAGAAAAGACGATATAAAACAGAAGAAAAGACGAGCATGCTTAAACATCGTTGTCCTCTCTCCGTGATTATATTCCTTTTTTTGATCTCTCCCACGATTGCTAGGCGAGGAGGTGAAGTTGAAGTTAAAATAGCGTCTCGTTTCGATCGTTCCAGTTCCTTCGAAGGAGAAAAGAAAGAATGAAAAGAAATAGATGAAGAAGAAGAAAACGAGATATTGTTGCGTAAATTTTTGTAAAAGCGCGCAGTGGTTCCTAATTTTTTCAACGCCTGCCGACTGCGATGCGTTAGCTTCGTTCATCCGTTCACGCCTAATTCGCACGGAAGTCGGTTATAATTACACTTTATAGACGCGAGAGAACGAAATTATTCAAATGGTCTCTGCCCGTATTCCGTTTTGTTCTCCTTTTTATCGAATTGCTTAGGTGTTATAAATAAGCAACGTGATGTAATCGTTGTACCCCACGACGCCTAAAAGTCCAATAAATGATATTTACAATATCTACCGTGACTCTGATTATTTCTCCGTGTATCGTCGAATTTCCCTCTATTCCTTTATTCGTAGTGTAACTAATTCGATAGAGGGATACAGTAATGTCTCCACAAGTGTCAGTCCGCAAGGAACCTAACCTGACACTTGTAGAGTCAGGGACTACGTTTTCGAGCCTCGCGCCCGCCTTTGTAGTTTGCCGAACGTAGACAAGGACAGCGAATAAAAGATAAGGATGAAACGTGAGTCGAGGCAACCAAGCGATTTAAATATCAACTTTTTTAATTTTACGTTTTTTTATCCCGAAATTTTTCTTAACATATTGATGAGATTTTTCTGATGAAAATGACATCAAACACGACATAATTTGAACAACTGTATTGAGATAAAACAGACGCCCTGTATTACATTACATAGAGTCGGCCTACCGTTTGACTGACACTTGTAGAATCGGCCCTACATTTTTTTTACGTGGAGGTAGGCCGACATTAAATTAATTACTCAGTAAGTATTAATAAGTAAATGTTGTTCAAATTATGTCGTGTTTGATGTCATTTTCATCAGAAAAATCTCACCAACGTGTTAAAAAAAAATTTCAGATGAAAAAAAGGAAAATTAAAGAAATTATATTTTTCTATTATGAATTGTCGAGCCGTGAAATCTCGTAAAAAAAACCGAGTGGTGCGAGATAACATAGGCGCAGCAATGACGCAGACCTAGGCGTAGGACCATCTATACTGACACTTGTAGAATCCAAACTGGCTGACACTTGTAGAGACATTACTGTATATCGCAAGATTTTCAGGTGGAATTTCCTTTATCGCGATATTCTTTATTCCCCTTTGTTCCTTTATCTCTAATATTTCAAGTTCGACAGAACGATATATCGCGAGATTTTCAGGTGGAATTTCCTTTATCGCGGCATTCTTTATTCCTCTTTATTCCTGACAATTCAAGTTCGATAGGGACGTATCGTGAGATTATCAGAGATCGAACGAATGGAAAAATGAATTTTGCAAAGTCTTCTCGCTAATAGAGAAATCGATAGTTAGAGTAAAGGTTGGTCGCGAGCAGACAGAGAGGAAAAGGGAAAGCAGACAAATGACTTTCACGAAGAAATCACGCGATTTCCTTCGGCCAACGTGCTCAGCTTCACGGTCATTTCCTCCTTAATGGTTCTTGTCGATGCGGCACGTTTGAATGCGGCGTTTGAGAACCACTTTGTTTTTCATTATTCCTTACTTTAGCCCTCTCTTCGTGCATTTCGCGAGAACACGCGCCATTTAAACCCTTCGAGCTCCGGCGTTCTTTCGCTGAAGCGCTTCAAGATAATTAGAAACCCTTTTCCTCGTGAACAAATTTTCCGAAATAGAAAGGAAATATGAAAATAAGATACGCGTGTTTCCTTTTTTCGTCAAATATAAATATCAAGTATGAGAAAAAATAAAGGAAAAATTCGATACACGTTTTACGATCGCGCTAACAGAAGAGAAACCTTGGAAAGCAATAGTTACGCAAGCATGCATTCCCTTTGCTTAGACACGACAAGGTTTCACCGTGGAGAAGCAGTAGGAAAGAAAGAACGTCGGCTCGCCGGAAATTCGCGTTCGTCTGCTTCTTTCGCTCCGTAAAATAAGTCACGGCATTTGCGTCGTGAAATATCCACGAAACAGCTTTCCACCCTCGCGTGTCCACGGAATATCAACTTTTTAAGGAGCGAGCCGAAGCTCGGGAAGTGCAAGCTTCAACAGAATGGAGCAACAGACTCTTACGTCATTTAGGTAGGTCACAAAAAGAAAAAGAATCGACGTTCAGTCGTTGATAGAAACCATTTGAGAAATTTCTTTGAATTTTCCTCGCAATCGGTGCCAATTGGCATTTTCACATTTGTATAACATTTAGCTAAAATTCTCTAACTCTGTTTTACTTGAAAATTTGAAAAATTTCACTTATTTTAAATTCATACTATTGGATTAATGGGTTAAATAAATACTGTTCACTGTGAATTCTTTTAAACGTATTTCATTTTCTTTCAAGAGCGCCTCAACGCTTAAAAAATCACAGTCGAAGCGAAAGTGAAAAACTCGTAAGGGCACGACAGAAAGTCTGTTGTCCACTTGAGAAAAAGAGACCAGGGCTGCACCAGCTTTTTACCCAGGTCCCTTAGGCATAAACAGTTACAGGCCTATGGGTCCGATGACATCTGGTCTATTATATTATTTTCACTAGCAGTGTTTCTCATATACAGGGTGTCCCGTAACTCTTCGAACACACGGAAATGGGGGGTTGCTGGGGTGACTCTGAACAACTTTTTCCTTTTCCAAAATGTAGTTTGAAGCTGCGTTTTTGAATTATTGACGAAAAACACTGGCCAATCAGATGGCGCGTAGAGCCTGCGCTCAGGGACGAGAGAACAGAGATGAAACCTTTATTACAAAAACCATGTACAACTTTAATAAAAGGCACAAGTACGAGCAAACACTGTCTGCAACGATCTCCTTCTAATAAATCTCTTATCAACGATTAACAATCGATGCTTGATCCATAAAATCGACACGTATGAGCGGAGATTCCGTATTTTCTTAAGGGATTAAAATCTCTGCCGGGGAAAATTATGTTGGGGATTTTCGGTGTTGAATCAGCGCATTTCCTTGCCCGTTCCAGCTTTAATCTCGCCCGGCTACGGAGCAAGCCGATCCTCCTAATACATAATGGATCCCCAAGGCCTAAGGGTGAAGGTTCGTCCAATCGGATTAATGGCGTCGGCAGCACTTTTCCCGGCTAAATAATGCTACCGGGATTCGATGCATGCCGGCCCCTCCGTGGCCTGTTTCTCCTTCGAGTACACACAGGATCTGTAACATTCTCGGACACGTACACACCATCCGGCAATATCTTCAATTGCCTGTGATCGACCATCTTGTAACTGCTGCAACTACTTGCCGGATCTTCTGTTTGGACGCTGACAGGGGAATTGCACGAGATGGAACCTGAGGAAACAGAAGACGAAAACCTATCTAATTCGCCGTTTAATTCATTCGAAGCTCGACGGAGGATAAAAGCTATTCGCGAAGTTTTAAATTTTAGTTCTTTTTTTTCGTGACAGTTTCCTTTTTTTGCTGCTTTTATGTCGGAAAGTATAATTGTAGGTAATTGTTTCGTTTGTGGACGCGATATCTTGAGCTGAAATCTTCTGTTAATCTATTTGCAAAGTTTTTACTCTAAAAATAGTATTTCAAAGGATACTTTTGTTTGCCACCGATGTTTAATAACTTACTTTCGATAATTTCCAATCACAAATAATTTCCAAGTGTAAACTGAAGTTAGAGCGAAAATTTCACCGCGAATGCGATTCGTTCTTACAAAGTAAAGGGTGAAGAGTGTTACCAAAATGTTGTTAATTCACACAGAAGGTACGATATTTCCGCGTCAAATTTATTATAATATCGTCTATTCCTCACATTTGTCAAGCCCGTCACCTTATTATCCCAGCGAAAGAAAGTCCGTTTCACCAGCTCGTTGGCAGCCTTGTTCGTCCATTATCACCACAGCGGAAAAGGAAGTAAGAGTATCCAGCGGACGAGAAGTTCCCCCGGGGACGTCTCCTCGGACCCGAAAACAACTAACTACCTATTTTCGTAACAATATTGCCAACATTTATCTCGAGGCCCGTTGGCTCGCTGTTTCGCGGGGCAAATCAGGTTCATTCACGGCGGACAATTAACAGAGGGGCTGGAATCTTTCGCGTAGCTATTTCACGGAGGGATGAAGAGAGGGTGGCTGAGTCGAATAACGCCTACGCGGAGCCAGTAAATTACTCTTAACTTCTCCGGGGGTAAAAATTACGGAGTTGTAAGGCCAGAAACCGAGAGCAGGGCTTAAAATGGGCTCCTCTTTGCCCCT